AAAAAAAAAGCTGATTATAGAATCAAGATATGTTGAGCTTGACATTTGTTCAGTATTTTTCATTCGTTCAACCACAAAAACCGAACCAGCTATGCTTCAATGTGTTTTTCGTGTCATCGAATCAAAATAGGAAGATGGCCAAGGCTGAGATATAATGAACTAGTAAAAAACACAGACAATTGGCATCGAGCTGACAATTTATCCTTTCCTTTTTTCTTTTCAGAAAAGGAAAAGAAAAAGAGAAATCATGTCCACACACTTAGAAACACAGAGATTCTGGTCAAGAGAGGAACTAATACCTCACTGGAGAGGACATCCAAATCTGTCTATTTGGTGTTTGCTTGTTTATTACATAAGTTCCCAAGTCACCAAGCTTCAAGGTTAAGACTTCATTCTGAAAACAAACTTATATAAGAAAATGGACAGCAACATTAAGCTTTGCAAGACAAAAACTATTTAATTTTGATCTAATCTATCTCACCCCATAGTCTACATCGTAACCATCGACCTCAACCGAGTCACCATACTCCTATAAGGTAAAAGAACCAGTCAAACACATAGCATTATCTTGATATGCCATTTTACTGAAATTAGGTAAGTAGATGACATATACATCTCAACAGGCATCTATACTAAGCAAGATCAAAACTTTTCCGAGCGAGTTTCTTAACTGAAATAAATTACCGGGCCCAACATAAAAATGCAAAACAAATATAACTTACTTAGTGATCTAAGATATGAAATCAAGAACACGACTTGTTTGAATTTTAACAAGGGATGTAGATGACATGCATCTCAACAGGCATTTATACTAAGCAACTTTGCCACACAAAGTTATAATGTGCAGACATTGCCAGCTTTTCGAGCAAGTTTCTGAATTGATGAAATAAATTACCGGCACCGACATAAAAATGCAACACAAATGTACCTTACTGAGTAATCTAAGATAAGAAATCAAGATCACGACTTGCTCGAATTTTAATGTAACATCAAAGGGATGATCCTTCATCAACACTAGGATTATCCAAGAACCTGGAGCCTTCCAAGTAGAACATCCCAAACAATTACCTCAAGCTTCTCGAGTAGATTGTGAATGGTTGAATTAGCCAATCTGTGATACTCGTCTTCCTGCAGCACAGAGACAGAGCTGTGCACAAGTAACATATACGTGAGCTGAAAATCTAATGTAAATCATCCAAAATCATTTTAATTTTTAACGAAATCAAATTCTCGAGGTGACCAAATATCCAAACCCAAAAATTGTGATCATCTATGAAATGTTTTCTGTTCTTACCACCTTACAACAAAAGATTCTATCTTTTTTCACATCAAAACCTGAAGTAAAACTAAATAAGTAAGTAAAAAAAAAAAAGGATCGCCCCAACAACCCTTTTTCTAATACTGATCGACTCACCGATATGAATAAAAAAAAAAAAGATATTTTTGAAATCCCAGCAACCCTTTTCTCGAAAATCACCAACACGCCGAGTTTCAGAATCTCACCGGTTATCAACGGCGGCGGGCCCAAGAGACTCCTCCTCACTCAGAGAAGACAGACGGCGGCAAAAGACGCCATTAAATGACAAATTAGGGCGAGGACTAGGAGCACAATCGGCACAAAACGAAGGCTCTAGAGAGCGGTTAGAGAGAGAAGAAAGCAGAAAGCTTTGGCGTGCTCGAATTGAAAACGACGATGACGACTGTTGAGGTCTCAAAGCTCTCAACAGTGTTCTTCTCAGCGAGTTAATTGCCATTTTTTCTGATTTTTTCTCGTTTCTCAGGCAAAAAGGGTCAGGATTGGGGAATTTTTGGGGTGCGTTTTTCTATTGGGCCTACCGTTCGTTTGGGCCAGCATAATCATTATTTGGGCTGGATTAACAAGATATTGACTTCTGGGTAGGGCCTACGCTGGGGATTTCCAGGTGGGCCAGAGGTTGTGTATGTTGGACCGGGTCCATGTTAGATCATGGACTTAAACATCATACATAAGTACGAAATTACAAGGAACTACTCTTAGCAAGCATAATGAAAGTCACATGTGATTAAATTATTTTTGTATTAATCAATAATCAACCAACCACAAAAATCCACTGTGGTTGTAAATCACATTTTTTTCACAATTTTCAAAATCATCATTTTATATTAATTAAAAATTTAATTCAAACATCTATTTACAAAATTAAACAACTTAAATTGTTTTGTCAGTACTGGTTATTTGTCATTAGAACCTCAAAGTTATCTCCCTTCGAAAGTGCAGTCGAATGTTACGAGAAATAATATAGGTATAGGTACATAATATTGTACATAGGGTGTACATTACACTCACGTTGAGTGAGACCGACTAAAAAATAAAATATCAAGTGTACCTCACTCCATGTGAGTGTTAATGTACACTTCTATGTACGTTTATTATGTACTTGTAGCATTTTTCAAATACTATTTTAACATTGAAAAGGAGTTCTTTTGAGGATTTTAGTAGAGAAAAACAAATACAAAAAATAAGAAGTGACAAAAAATTGTTAATCAAATTCAAAGGTTGTTGATGAATTTGATTCTCATTCCTTTCTCAATATTTGATAACCAATGGTTATATGCTTGCTAGTAGTATTTTATTTGACACAATATTTTTGTTCTGTTGTGTAAAATTAGATTCCACACGAAACTTCTGATCTCCTCACAATTTCACTTTTTATCCTTTTTTTTATATTTATTAATTTTTTTGGCCTTTGCTTGAGGACAGAACGCACTTTTTCTTGGTTTGACAAATGAAAATTGAAAAACCTTCAGAAAGAATATGTACCCTCATGTATGATATAACTGTATTTTATATTTGGGATGTGAATTTCAAGAAAATGGATTAGAAAATCAAAAGGAAAATGGAACAACGAATAAAGTCGAGACACGTAAGATACGCTCTCCTTAAGACGAAATAGCCTGGTATATTACACACGGTTCACGGCTAACACCTCAAAGATACAACGACTTATGATTTGTGTATAGCGGTAACTTAAATACACAAATCTTCGGCGAACAATACTTATGTTTTGGAACTCTCAAGATATAAAAGAACAGAAAGAACACAAGAGGATTATGAATTTTGTAAAATGATGCAAAAAGATCTTGAATATTTTATATGTTGAATGGTTCCATATTTGTGGGTATTTATAAATGTAGGGAAACATTTTGGGACGTGTCCGAACAAGAACGGATGCATCTAGTGGTCAAAAGACACCTTATGGTCACCAAAGGTCGCAATCGTTCGATATTCGCAGCCAGTTGCGCGCCCGTGCACCGCGGGCTTGTACGAGCTCATACGGACTCGGAATCGAGTTCCCTTTTTTTCTACTTGTCCCCAACGAGCCATTCTACAATTCTAGCATACATAATGCATGATTATGGCTCGTTTAGTTTGTCCAAATATTTATCAAAACAGAATATTTGTGAACCCTACAACATTTGAGTTATTTAAACTCACTTAATTAACATATAACACTTAAAATTAATTTTTCATTCACCTTACAAAGGTTTTGAGAATTTCCTAAGTTTTCTATTTACATAAAATAGAAATCGTTAAATCGATACAAAACCAAGTTTTTTTTTTTACAATAACTTTGTTCGTGTGTTTGCTCGTACAAAAATATATAACAAACTCGCTGGTTTGTTCACAAGGAACACATATTAATATGTCTATCAATTGATATAATACGAGATTAGGTTATTATAAAACCGTGTGAGTATTGATTTTAGAAAACACATAATCTTATTATACGACAATATGGTGTGTCAACAAATTCAAAATATACATACATAAAAGTGCATCCTTGCAATTTACATAACAAATTCAAAAACATAAATCTTGTTATAGACTTGGTTATCATTGTCAATATTATACAATCTCAAATAATCTTATTTTGTCAATATATAGCAAGTATTTATTTCATTACATCAAAAAGTATGTTTATTATAAAGCTAATGTAAAATCTTGAAATTTCATTTTTGTGAGTATCACAATTTTATTCGAAACCAATAACTAGCCTTCTCAGAAATTGTAGCCCATAATCCCATTAAGTTTTAATTTTGAACAAAAGAAATTTCATTCTTAATGAACTTTAACACATTCATTAAATAAATTATAAATAATTAAATATGTAATAGTATATTCATTTCATATAAAAACTAGCTGTAGATGAACTACTATTAAAACCGATCATACTTGTTTATAAATTTTTTCAAATATTCATTTAATTATTAAAATCTAACTCAAATTTAGTTCAATCTCACTATACTCAATATTATTAATAATAATATCAATCAATTATTCTTACAAATCACATTAACTTTAATTTTCTTTTTATCTATTCATATAGTTTTTTTTTTTTTGGGTACAGGGACCTTCCGGTTTCCGGCTCCACAGGGGAACCGACTAATCCGGAATCGAGCCGGGTAGGACCACAAGGGCGGCAAAGCTCTCCCTCAAGAGTTTTAACACTGCTGCATTCCCAGGACTCGAACACGAGACCACTGGTGGGTAAACTAGTAGTTTTAACTAGAGTTTTATCAATACAAGACCCGGAAGGTGGGTAAACTATCAATGCGGGGTCTGAAAGATTTTTCTCTTAATTCGAGATTTAAATGTTATAAAACTATCAAATTAAAGACCCGAAAGATGGGTAAATTATGAATGCGGGGTCTGAAAGATTTCTTTTATCAATCTTGGACTTAAATGTTGTAAAACTATCAAATTAAGTCTAGAATTAACCAAAATCATAACACCATTAAATTTAGAGATAATTTGAAGTTTTAAAACACCAAATTTGTTACAAATTAAAAAAAGAAAAGGAAAAATGAAGAAAATTAAAGAAAATACGAGATTGTTGGAGAAAATTAAGTAAAGTATGAAGCTCTTGCTCGGTTTTCTTGCTATTTTTTTTAAATATTATGCAAATGTTTAATTATTATTTTTTGTGAGTAAACACCAATCTTTTATTTTTTTTTTAAACTCCAAATTTAATGGTGTTATGGGTTTTTATAATTCTAGACTTAATTTGATAGTTTTATAACATTTAAGTCCCGAATTAAGAAAAAAAACTTTCAGGGCCCACATTTATAGTTTACCCATCTTTTGGGTCTTTAATTTGATAGTTATAACATTTAAGTCATGATAATTGAGAAAAAAAATATTTCAGGCCCCGCATTGATAGTTTACCAATCGTTCGGGTCTTGGATTGATAAAACTCCTTTTAACTAACAATCACTTAACATTATCTTTATCCTATTTTTACATCAAATCAATTTTAATTGTTTTATTTAAAATATTATTTTAATACAAATTCAAAATTTTTATAGCATTTAAGTCATGAATTGAGAAAAAAAAAACTTTCAGGCTCCACATTGATAGTTTACCTATCTTTCGGGTTTTGTATTGATAAAACTCATTTTAACTAACAACCACTTAACATTATCTTTATCCTATTTTTATATCAAATCAACTTTAATTGTTTTATTAAAATATTATTTTAATACAAATTAAAAATTACACTAACAACTAATGATAATATATTTTTTAAAATTAACTTTAATTAACTAAACATATTCTTTTTAAAATTAACTCAAACTAATTAAAAAAAACTCATTTTTTCTCTACCTTTACACATATCTTGGTTTAGGTTAATAAGATTAAGCTCCACCTCCAAAAAA